TTCACAGCTATACATAGCAGAGCCTGAACCTGAACTCAGGGATGTCTCACCCCAAAGCCCATGAATTTGGCCACCATACAACAACTACCTCCCTGAAGAGAGCGCGAGCTCAATTTGTAGAACGCTTCCCCTGTGCCGGGCCAGGCACCCAAGCACGCTACATACACAGTCGCATTGAAGCCTCACAAGCCCCCTGTCAGGGGGCTGTTGTGAGCCCCTGATTTTTAGATGATTTTTAGATGAGTCATCGAGGGCTCAGAGAGGTTGAAGATCATGCCTTTGATCTTGCTCTTCCCCCAGTGTGTCCCACAAGTGGCAGAGAATGAGTCATGGGGGCAGGAGTGTGGCTCGGGCGACGTCAAGTCTGGAGTCGTGGACACCACTCCTGGCCCTGCCTCTTAGCCCTGTGCGCTTTGGGCTGTAGTTTCCTTACCTGACCAGTGGAGAGACCATCCCGGCTAACCTCTCCAGCTCCTCTCCGCTCTCAAGTTTTTGTGGTTCCAGGATTCAGAAATTCCCTTTGGACTGCTGCAGACTGGTCTCATCCTGCAGCACGGAGGTGAAGATGGGGCACAGTACGCAGCCTTTCAGAAGAGAGGTAGGTAGCCCCTGCAGCCTTTGGGCATAAAAACAAAAGCTCTTTTCCTCCAGACACAACCAGCTCACTGGGCTCCATTCACCACTGAAGCTGAGCCCGGTGGCCTGGGTACAGGTAGGAGCCCCGTGCCTGGAACAGAAACCCGAAGGTTCAACCAAAGGAGGGGTTTTCAGCCATGAAACTCTTTCTCTTTCTCCCAGCAGCCACCACCCAGATCTCTATCTGCTTTCCGGGGCCTGAGGTGGACCAGCAGACGTGTGTCATTTCCCTGGGTAGGGGCCATAATGGCGACATTGTGCCGAGTGGAACAAGAGAAGTTTTCATCGGGCCACCAGCCCTGGGCAGACACTAAAGCAGGGGGCTCTGCAGCTCACTCTGCACAAAGGAGCTTAGGAGAGGGGCCCTGAGCTGGGGAGAAGCCCAGTGGGCTGGGCTGCCTGCCCCCAGCAGCATGCAGGAAGGCTGGGACGCAGAGACAGTGCTTGCAGAACACCTCGCTGCAATCTCATTTCTCCCTGCAAATAAGTGAGCAAGCAAACACTCCCAGAGGATAAACGGCTCCCTCCAGGACACATGCATTAGAAGAAGCCTCAGGAGCCCTTGAGCAATTACTCACGGACTCACTCCACAGTACTTATGTCCGCTCACCGGGTGCCAGGCACTGCACTAGGCTGTAGGAGCTAGTGCAGAGTAAGACACAGCACCCAGCCTCACACTGCTTGCAATCTGGGGGGCCAGGAAGAGGCAAGGAGAGAAGCAAGTAGGAAATTGAACATTGGCGACCCAACCAAAGAACTGAGATGCACAGAGCAACAGAGTCAGTTCAAGAACCCGGGTCTGAACGCCTGATCTGTGGGTTCTCTGACTCTTCCCAGGGTCCCCTGAGCTGCTTGTCTGCGCTGAGGAAGGGGGTCAGTGAAGAAGGCACCCCACACACCATAATAAGGAACTTGGACTCTACACTGAGGGCAGAGGGGAGCCATCACATATTTTTATGGGGAATCTGATTGGGGTTGTGGAATGTTCACTTTGGTGGCCATGGTGCAAACGGACCTAGAGGCAAAGTGACAAGGTAGAAGGCGAGAGGATGTTTCTTTCACTGGGACACAGAATCTTTAGCCTCCAAATTTTTCTTTCCCAGGGCTTCCCAGCTCCACCTGATAAGCTGAGAATGAGACTGGGGAGTATCATTTGTTTTCACAAGACTGGGAGCACGAGGGAGTTGAAAGCTTTCTTCCTGGTATTGTTCACCGGGATCAAATTTGATATCTTTTTACAGAGCTGGAGCTCTCCCCACAGAACTCTTTAGACAGCACCAGACAAACCTAGTACAGAGCCAAAAAAAAAAAAATCTTCTGTGAGGGTCGCACTCATGCAGAGACATGGCAAGGGAAGGAGGAAACAGGGCATCCACAACCTCCATCCCAGTCCTTCACCAGCGCTTACCACCCGACACCCCACATGGCACCAAACCAAACGGCTTTGCAGGCACGTCCTGCAGTCTCCCATCTCTGTGGCTCTGTTCCCACTGTTTGCTCTGCCTGCCATGTACTTTCCCCGTGGTGGGCTCCCCCAAATGTCACTGTACTGTCTCTATGATTGGCAAGAAATTCTTGCCTTGTCTTGATGAACTCTAAGAGCACTTTATCTCTCCTCTAGTACTTTTCACATAATAATTTGTAACTCATCTATTTTGTACACATTTATCTCCTCTACTAGACTGTGGAGTCCTTGAGGATAGAGCCCATTCCTACTTCATGTTAGTTCTCCCTATAGGAACTTGCACAGAATGCAACACATATTCCTAAGGGAACTGATGAAACGTGGTGTTGTTTCTATGGTGACGATAGACCCCGTTAAAGAAAAGGACAGAAAAGATATATATATAGTTATTCCTCCACCGAGAGCCCACAAACAGGGTTTCTCATTCAGTGATCCTGCCGGCAACCAAGCTGTAGTCAACTTAGTCAACAGTGCCACCGAGTGGGCATTATGAGTAATGATCTAAACCAGAACCGCTAGCCTCCACAGCCACATCTTTTTGTTAATGCTTAGCAGAACTGTGCACAGACTGTGTTCTCCCACTTATCCATTTTCCCCGGTCCACAGCTCAGTTAATCCCACTCCATAAATTATTCCACAGATCCATAGAAATTCTCCTTAGCCCTTTTGACTTTTCTGTTCCAATTCTCTGATGAACCTCCAAAGTCCTTAGAAGTTTCTGAAATCTCTTTTAAAAATCTACCAAAGTTTCCATCTGTCTTTACAATTGATATATTTTATATTATTTTATTCTCTCAAATGAAATATAATGTTTTTAAAAGTATTAATGGGCTGGCCTGGGAACTTAAGTGCCATTTACAGCCTTGTTTCCAAGTGTTTCAGAGTTCCAACAGTGAACTTGGGGAACTTAATCCACTTGTAAATTGTTGGCTGTCTGCTTTAGAATTTAAACTGACCTTTTCAAATTGGAAAAGTAGGCAGGAACAAAGAGGAACTTGGAAAATAATAATGGCTCACATTTTTATAGCTATTTATGGTTTATAAAGTGGGTTTGTACCATCATTTCATTTGCCCTCTCAGCAGCCCTATGAGGTCAATAAGAGGTCTCCCCAAGCACAGATGAGCAAGCAAGTCTTACGTACTTCGTAGAGCAAGACCTCACACACAAGTTTGCAGACTCAGATCCTATTGTTTTCTTCAGTACCCCACATTTCCTCTGAGTGTGACTGCATACACACTACAAACAACACACGCAATTTTTTGAAGACAGCATTAATTACAACTTGCCCGTAAAAGCAACGGAGAAAAAACTCCCAGTCCAGGAAGATGCAGGATTCTCTTTCCCAAGCTGTTCCCCGTCTCTCTGCCTTTGCACAAGGTGATCCCAATGCCAGGATGTTCTAAGTCAAAGGAGTTCCCTAGTCAAAACTGAAAACAGAGACTTGGCCCATCTTGGGGAGGAAGGGTGTCTAGGAGGACAACAGAGCTTGGACTTCACTTTATAAAAGGTCTTAAATTGGGGCGCCTGGGTGGCTCAGTCGTTAAGCGGCTGCCTTCGGCTCAGCTCATGATCCCCGGGTCCTGGGATCAAGCCCCGCATTGGACTCCCTGCTCTGCGGGAAGCCTGCTTCTCCCTCTCCCGCTCCCCCTGCTTGTGTTCCCTCTCTCGCTGTGTCTCTCTCTGTCAAATAAATAAATAAAATCTTAAAAAAAAAAAAGGTCTTAAATTTAGATATTTGCCATTGTCTGTAAATGAGTTGTACCTGTTTTCACAGAGACACACTAATAGGATGAAAGTTGACATTCTTCATACAACTTTAAACTTAAATCCCATTCCTGGGCCAGCCGCAGCCACAGCAGTATTTTTTCTACATGCTGCAATTATTTTGGAAAGAGCACCCTCACGTTGCACTATATTTTGTATGCTAAAAGTATTCACTTCCACTCTGTTGTACCCCCCCGTTTGATATTTCTTCATCTGTTAATACACAAAGAATCTCCAAAGTTGGAAGTATCCCAAGCACTGCCCACCTTTTAATCGTCTCTCTCTGTCCTTGTCTTCGATGATCTTCTTTTTGGAGATCTTTATTATTATTCCACTCTTCTCTCACACCATGATTGACGGTGCACGGGGATAGCGCCCTGTCCACTATCTGCTCTAGAAGGTGCTCGGGCAAGACCTGTCGAACGGAGGCCATAAACCCGGAGTCAGAAAATGAGTGGCAGCTGCAGGGAGAAGTTTTGATTCCACCTGGGGGCGGGGGGGGGGGGAAAACATGTTCTAACGGTCTGGGCGGTCTGCAGATGGAATGAGCTGGAAGGTGCGACACCAAGCCCCCCATCGCCAGCCGAGCGCCAGCAAAGCGGAAGACCGCGCGGGCCGGGCCGGGCCGGCGTGGGCCGCGCGGGCGCGGGAGCGAGGGCGCGTGAACCGGGCAGTGGCCCCCGGGCCGCAGCGGGCGGGGCGCGGGGGCGTGCGCGAGCGTGTGCGGGAGCCGGGACCGCGGCCGGCCGGCCGCCCAGGGGCCAGGCGTGCTCCGGCTCTATTCCGGGAGCGGCGTGGAGGGGCGGGCGCGCGCGGGCGGGGGCGCCGGGCGGGCATCCTGTCTGGGGGAGGGAACGCGCGCGCAGGGCGCTCCCGCGGGGCCGGGCCGGAGAGCGCAGCACCGGCCGCCGCCAGCCCCGCCGGAGCCGCTGCGCCCTGCTCCGCGCGCCCGGGGCCCGCCGGCGCCATGGACCGAGGCCGGGGTAAGAGGAGCCGCGGCGCCCGCGCTGGCGGCCGCGCGGGGCGGGGAGGGAGACCGGCGATCCAGGGGCTCGAGAGGAAGAGGAGGGTGGGGGGCCGAGGAGGGTCGGAGCGGGCGCGCGGTCGGGGGTGGGAGGCCCGGGGCAGGGCGGACAGGTGCGTCCCGCGGCTGGGGCAGCCCGGGTGTAGATGAGTCGCTCGCGTCCCGGGGCCGAGTGGCGTCCTGTGTGTAAGACCAGTTTCATACACTCAGAGTCAACTTCATGAAAGAATGCCCCACAGGATTCCTGAGGACAGCGAGCTCCTCCCACCCCATGCCCCTCTGGAAGGGGAAGATAGGGTTGGCAGGTACACTCCCAAACAGCGGGACGTGCGAAGCCCGCAGCGTGCGCCCCGCGAGACGCCGCGGGAGCCCCGAGTTTGCAGCTGCCTAGGGCAGTGAGAGAAGGAGGGACAGGCGTGCGTGCCAGTGTGCGCGTGGGTGTCTGAGCCCGCCTCTGCCTCCGACAAGCTGTGTGACCTTCGCCCAGTCCCTCGCCCTCTCTGGACTAGTGACAAAGTTGGATTGATGGTCTCTGTGAGGCCCCTTCTTGCTCCCGCGCTTTTTCAGGAGTTGAGTGTGTTTGATAAAAGTTTCAGAGATTAGGGAGGGCATGTGTAAATTGACGTGAGAAAAGATAGCAGCACTTGAGGGGGGCCCTGCTTAAGAAAAGGCCTAGACACTTCAAAGGCATGTGTCTGCAAAGAAGTGGCCTGCTTGGACATGCGGGCAGTGTCCAAGGCTGGGAATCAGAACACCGGGGTCCCATCCACCCACCTCTACAGGCGGAGAGATCACAGTTGTGAATGCGCTTGGTAAACTGGCCAGTGGTGTGCCAGCATGAGAAGCATTATTATTCCTGTTGTTATTATTAATGGAAAATTCCTCTGCCTCCCTAATAAGCTCACACCTTTCCTCCATCTGCCTGTTAGCTGTGCTGAGGCCCCCAAGGTGGGGGGTGGGGGCAGGAAGAGTGACCAGGGGTGTGGAAGCAGTCAGGAGGGCACCAGGGTCAGGGATGAGTGCATGAACAGGTTTCAGGATAAGCTGGCTGGCACTCCCAGTACGGGACAGCCAGGCTTAAGGACCCCAGCTTCCAGGTCAAGTTGCTCGGGACAACTTCTCCGCCCACCTGGTCCCAGCACAAAATACCACACACACCTTCTCCTTTCAGGCTTGGAAGGGCAGGCAGGAAATAGACGGGGCTTCCGTTTGGCTCTTTGGAGACTGAGGCTGTGATTTGTAAAGCAGTTCTCACCTGTTAACTGACTGCTGGACAAGTTTACAAAGAGCACACACACTCGCCAGGGAGGAAAAACAGAGAGAAGAGGCACCTCTAATGTCCCTCAGTCCTCAGTTCCCACCTCCCATGTGGTACATCTAAAGCAAAGAGCACCCGCCCCTGAGATAAAGTTGTTAAATATCACCCTGTCTGGTCCCCAGTACAAAAATCCATATCTAGCCTACTCAGAATTGTGGGAGGACTGTGCCCTCCTTAGACCAAGGATGACAATAATTCAGTTAGCTTAAAATGCTTCATAACTGACACCTCACTTAAGAAGGTTGTCTCTAGATCACTCCTCCTAGGAAGCCGGACTTCCTGGGACTCTGCTAGTACTCAGAACATTCTAGAGCTCTCTCCCATCCTGCAGGCTTTCCCAGCCTACTTTCCTTCTCCTTCACAGCTCTTGTCTCAATGTGCTGTTACTCGAAGGGTTAGTTATCGCACTATATGCTTTGTGCTTACCTTCCCTGCCCAAATGGGAGCTTCTGGAAGGTAGGGAGTGGATCTGTGCGGTCACTCTGCTGTCACAATACCTGGCACACAGGAGGAGCTCACTAAGAGTGGCTCAATTTGTTAACTGGGTAATATGAAACACACTTGGTAGTGCATCCCAAGTTGATTAACTGTAGTGTTGATTTTTAAAAGAGAATATGCATCACAACAGCTCTTTGTGACTTGCAAGGGCCTTCTCAAAATGTGAGTAAAGTAGTCATGTGGCCAGGGCACACAAGACCAGACTATCTATCTAGATCCTAAGTTGTCTACCCTGATAAATCACTGCAAACATCTTAGGAATTAAAGCAAAGCACACATGAATTAGAGTGTGAAACCCGTATGCATTTTCAAAATAAAACATGAGGCTTCACAGTGCATCCCAACAGAACTTTTTTGTTGTGCTCCTGTCCCCAGGTGGATGTGTGCACTCACTTCTGTTGTCAGGGAAGGTTTAAGAAGCAGAGGTCTCATTTCAACCTCATGCCTACCACGTGGGGAGTGCGATTGTCATGCCCCAGATACTGGGGAGGAAACTACACTTCAGTGTTAATAACAATAGCAGCTGAAATCATCACAGGAGAGCAGGCTTGGCAGGTGTATTAGTCTGGAAGGGCTGCAATAACAAAATACCACAGACCCGGTGGCTTAAACAACAAATTTATTTTCTCAGTGTTTGGGAGGCTACAAGTCCAAGATCAAGGTGCTGTCCAGGTTGGTTCCTGGCGTGGCCTTTCTTACAGGCTTGTAGACATCCACCTTCTTGCCGTGTCCTCACCTGACCTCTTTCTTCTCTGTGCACATGTGAAGAAAGAGAGAGCTCTCTGGTGTCTCTTCCTGTTCTTATAAGGACATGGGTCCTATCAGATTAGGGCCTACCCCTTATGACCTCATTTCACCTTCATTACCTCCCTAAAGGCCCTGTCTCCAAATACAGTCCCATTGGAAGGTTAGGGCTTCAACATATGAATTTCAGGGGGTTGCACTCCTGTCCAGAGCAGCAGGGTTGGGTCACTGACATGAACTTGCCCAGTCGTTTGCTGTGTAAGGGACGGAGCTAGGTTTGAACCAAAGCCCGGATCTTAAGCTGACTACTCTGCTTCCGCTGTGGCCGGTGACCTGCGCACGCCCTGGAGCAAGGCCTGGACGCCAGGCTGTCCCCCTCCAGCTCCAGGTGCCTCCTCCACACCTCAGCTGTGCTGCTCAGATCTTCAGCAGCGATGGCAGCGCCAAAGCTCAGCACCAAAGTCAACCGACTTGAGAATGAAACAAACCTGGGAATTAGGATTTCTCTCCTAACACGGTATGTGTCTTCCCATGAGGAAAGCAAGATTTATATGATGTCAGAACAGACAGAGAAACCACTTATAATGAAATCCCTTCCAGGGCGCCTGGGTGGCTCAGTCGTTAAGCGTCTGCCTTCGGCTCAAGTCATGATCCCAGGGTCCTGGGATCGAGCCCCGCATCGGGCTCCCTGCTTGGTGGGCAGCCTGCTTCTCCCTCTCCCGCTCCCCTCTCCTTGTTTTCCTGCTCTCACTATCTCTCTCTTTGTCGAATAAATAAATAAAATCTTTAAAAAAAAATAATGAAATCCCTTCCAGTAGGATTTCCTGATTCATGAATATCATACAAAAAGAATCATAGACTGATGGCCTCAGACACCACCTTCTACAGGACAAATTAACTAACTCTCTGTCTTCATATGAGGATAAAAAATATGGATACTGATAATACCTATTTCTTGGTTGTTGTAAATATTAAGTGTATGGAAGATACTTCAAACAATGCCTAGCATGTGGGACCCACTCAATCAATACGATTGTAATTACAGTCTTTTTTCATCAGACTCCACATAATAAAATTGCTTTATAAAGCTTCACTTGGTCCTTCCACAAGCTGGTCTGACTCAGATGACAGATTTTTTAGTCCCTACTCTGTTTTAAGGACTGAGCTAGACAGCTTTGTGTACAACTCAAGGACAGGGTCTGTGTCAAAACTTCTCTGTATCCTGGAGCTCCTTTGTGGTACTTATCCGTTGAAAATCCATCTCTGACCTTCAATAATTGGACCACCGTCCAACTAACATCTCTGAGTGACTGATAAAATATTAATACATATGCCAATGTGTCCATTTTCTCTTATTTATCCTATTTATTAGTGCCTACTGACTGGCTGTGTCTTCATAATTTTGCCTCTGCAAACTTTCCAGTCTTCTCAAGCCATCCTCTCTTTGAAGCCTTTGGTCTAAATTTTTTCTGATTTTGTCATGTGCCTTCTTAATATCCGAGGTGATGTCTGATCTGCCTGCCTCATGTGAAGTCACTGATTTCCCCCGAGGTTCCTTTCCTTTCCACTTGACTGCTAGTTCTTCTTCAGTGAGTTGAATTCAACCCAAGATGGGAATTTCTTTCTCAGTCTGTACTCTTTGGGAGATCATATTGTCTGCTGGGCAACTTAAGAAATCATCTGAAACTGTGCTTTTAATTAAATGAGATTTTTATTGTTCAAGGGATGGTAGAAGAACCCATTCTAACTGTTGTGCGTCTGTTGGACCAGCTTTGAGACCCATGTCAGGAAAGCCACATTTCCTTACCCAGCTGGGCCAAGCAACCTGTAGCTGCTTCTAGAGTGAGCTCTCTACAGTGACTCACCACCCAACTTCCACCACCAAGGCCATGAATTCCCATTCGGGCATACCTCTTGCCTGGCATCCAAGTTCATTCTCTACTCCTATCCATTACTGGCCTTCTGAAAGGAACACTCAACCATATTCATCTTTTCCATCCACATATGTCTTATGCCATCATCTTTGTCAATCTGGAGACTCGGGAAAGCAGAAAAGGGTCAAAGAACGGATAAGTGTGGGCTTGAGGTGTTTTGTTTTTTTAAGTAGGCTCTGTGCCCAACATGGGGCTTGAACTCATGACCTTGGGATCAAGAATTGCATGCTCTACCGACTGAACCAACCAGATGCCCCAAGGGTTTGAGTTTGGGCTGGAACTTTCCAGCTGTATGATCTTGTATGAATTGGATAAATCAATTTCTCTGAACTTCAGTCTCATTTCATTTGCAGTGTCATGGGGAAAGGTAATACATGGATGCTGGCTCTTAGGAAACATTCAGGAGTGATAGCTATTATATTTATCAAATATAATTGCTTGGATTTCAGCCACTCTCTGTAATGGGTGTATGTGGTCATATGGGACCATGAGATTTGAACTTCCTCTCTTCCCTGTAGAGAGAAGTGTACTACTGTCACTGGGCACTGCTTCCAAATCCTTATCCCACTCAGCCTCCATGGTGTTTGCCTTCCCCATTGTAGTCAAGGTTTTTTCTGCCTCTCCCTCAAATATCAGTTTCAAACCCCCCTTCTCACATGGGTGAGCACCCTGCCAAGTAAGTTCCTCCCTCCCTAACCTCTGCCAGAAGCCTATCATTACTCAATTCTGATCTTTGCTTGGGAAAAACAAGCCTGTGTTTGGATACCATCAGCTTCTCATACTTTTCTTACCCTTCTAAAAAAAACATGCAACTGAACAAAAAAGTAAAGTCCCTGCTCGCGGGCATGCGCATGTGCACGTGTGTGCACGCACATACTCTCTACCCCTAAGCATTTTCCTCCTTCCTCTCCTGGCCAGACTTCTCAAGTACACAGTCAGCACATCAACCTCCAGCTCCGTCCCCCCAAACCCCTTGCGCTGCCTGCATTCTCCCTTCCAATCACACCTTCTGCAGAAAGCCCACTCTTCTGAGTCACAAATGGTTCCATGCTGTCTCATCTTTCACCTCCTCTGAGTCCCATCTCCTGGACTTCTCTTTTGCGCTGTTGACCCGCTATTGACTCCTCTAATATATTCTGCTACTTAGTGGAGATGAGGAAAGCATGGATTTTGGAATCAAATAACTCTCCGTTAAATAACCACTGCTCCATCCCTCCCAGAAGTCTTTCCTGCCTCTCCTCCTGTCCCCCAATTCCACTGTTATCAGTGCTCACAGCCTCTGGGCTTCTCCCGCCATCAGGCAAGTTACCCAACTAAGCCTTGTCCCCTCAGTCTGCAAAGCAGGAAGAATGACACCCGGAACTGGACTGTGGTAATATTTGCCCAGCACCCAGAGCCAGGCCCGTGGCAGGTGCTCACGAATGGTTATTCTCCATCTTCCCTTCTGGTTCACTCACTTTTTCTTCTTTAAGGACTCTTGCCCCTCTTTCCCCACCCTCTCAGCCCTCTCTCTATACTCACTCCTGTAGAGAGCCATGCCCACATGAGGGTGACGCTCAGTGTCCATCTTCAGCCATGAGTTGGGTCCGTTCCTGCATTATTTACCTCCTGCCTGTGGTGTATTTTCATCCGGAGGTCAACTCAACCTCCGAGTGACCCAATTTTGAACTCCTCTTATTCACCACCAAATCAGATCCCCCTTCCTGTTTCTCTTTTTCTGTTAACAACACAACCACGTGAGGAGCAATTGGAGGAAATGGGGCTGTTTGTGAACAAGACCGAATTTGAAAGGGGGACACGGTATCAGTCCTGTAGAAGAGATAATAGAACGACTGTCCAGAGGCTGTACAAGAGATCAAACAGAGGCTGATTTGGGCTTGATCTAGGAGAAGCACACAAATGAAAAGAATTATCCACTACAAGGAGGCTGAATGGCCACAGATCAGGGAACCACAGAATGCCTCCTATGGGGACCACAGTAACATATAGGCTAAGAACAACTGTCACGTAATATTCAAGTGGCTTCTATAGGCATGGCCCTTTTGCGAACCATATAGAGCGGGACTTCTACCTGAAGTATCCATCTTTTATTTAAATGTACACTTTGTCATAACTTTTATGGGTCTTATAAATTACACTTAAGGATGGAATTTGGGAAGAGGACCTGATGCCATTAAAGACGGTCATTTAAACTATAGATCTGGGGGCGCCTGGGTGGCTCAGTGGTTAAGTGTCTGCTTTCTCTCAGATCATGATATTGAGCCCCACATCGGGCTCCCTGCTCAGCAGGAAGCCTGCTTCTCCTTCTCCCACTCCCCCTGCTTGTGTTCCCTCTCTCACTAGGTCTCTCTCTGTCAAATAAATAAATAAAATCTTTAAAAAATTTTGTTAAAAATAAACTATAGATCTGATCATGCTTAAACCCTTCAGTGGATTCTCAGTGTTCTTAAGATATAAACTATAATCCCCGTGGCGGCCCTCAAGGCCCTGCCCTGTCTGTCACCAGCGTACTTTGGGCCTCTGTCCATCTCTTGCTGTGGGGTCTCCACACACTTGTCTTTGTACCTCCACCTGCTTAATCCTGCTCATCCTTTGCAGTCCGCTCAAACCTTTCTTCCTCAAGGCCATCTTTCCCAATCTCCCAAGCTCCGGCTCCCTTCTGCAGGGGCCCCTGCACCCTACACTTCTTCCTCCTTGGCTGCTATTTTCATAATTATAATCAGTCGTGGGATTGAATTGGCTGTGAACGTGAGCTCTGTGGGGGCAGGGCCCTTCTTGCCTCTGTCCACAGCTCTTTCCCTAGCACCTAGTCATGCTTGGCAAGAAAGACGTCTGTTGAGATGAGTAAATGAACGAAAAAATACAAAATTCATAGAGTAGAAGCTGGATATGGCCACTTTCAACTCCAGGATTCTCCATTTCAATGAGTCTCACTTTAGGGATACAGAAACGTAGACTTCATCATTAGTCGTTGCTTCCTTTGCTTTCATCCTTCATCCAATAAGACCTTAAATCCTGTTGACTATGATTGAAAAATGTCTCTTGGATGGCTTCTTCTTCTCCACCCTATGGGAGCTTCCTGTTTCTGCTCTCACCTTCTCCACCTGCCCTGAGGACCACTCTCGATTTGTCTGTTTGACTCCAGCTGGGCTCAGGATCGTCTCCTGTGGAGCCTACTGAAAATATGCCCCCAGAGATCTGATCAGTGGGTCTGGAGTGGGGTTTGGGTATGTGTGCCTTTTGCACAGCTCCCAGCTGAGTCTAATGTGCTCACTGTTGTAAGCAGTGACCTGCTTTTATCATGCCCCTTGACCCTGCCCAAACACATGCCAGGATTCCCTGTTGCTGTCTCCAGCACTGACTTTTATACTTTTCAGTCGAGTGGGACTCTAGGGTCTGGATCTTTTACCCAAAGTAGTCTTCTGAAATGTCTCATTTTATCTTTAAAAAAGCCAAGCCATTTTTTTCTATTGTAGTCTATAATATATCTGAACACATTCTCCCCCTGCCCCGTCCAGCCCAACAAGAAAAATCTTTGCCCAGTGGACCTCTAGAGATGCCAGTGTTCATCTTGGGGCTTCTC